GCCCCCTAGCGCCGCCCTGGGGCCAGCCCTGCCTGCCAGGGGAGAGCCCCCTGCTGCCCCCCGCCCTGCCCCCTGCAGCACAGCGCCCCCTAGCGCCGCCCTCGGACAATGGGGCCGGCCCTGCCTGCCAGGGAACAGCGACCCCTGGGGACCTCCGCCCCACCCCCTGCAGCACAGCGCCCCCTAGCGCCGCCCTGAGGCCAGCACAGGTCCCGAGGGCAGAACGCAGCGCTGTGGGGAACGTCGCTCCGCGGAGGTCTCCGGACCGTGCCCACGCCCGGCTCAGGAGGCCGAGCCCCCGGTGCCGGAAGCCAGAGGCCGTGCCCGCACTCCCAGCCGGCTCACCGCTCTCGGCGTCGGCGGGGTCGCGCTCCAGGGACCCGGCGGTGCTGACGATGTTCAGGAGGTGGATGGCCGTCCAGGCGAAGGGCATGCGGTACCGGCCCAGGCGGCTGCAGAACTGCTCCGCCGCCCCGCGCAGCTTCTCCAGCTTCTCCTTGTTCTGGGGGCAGGGACGGGCACGGAGTCACCCCGGCTCCCCCAGACCGAGCCCCCTGAGATATGGGGAATTGCACTGCTGCTGTCAGAGCGGTACCCCGCTTAGAGTGGGGGGGCTGGGAGCCAGGACTCCTGGGTTCTCTCCCCAGCTCTGGGGGCAGTGGGGTCTAGTGGTTAGAGCAGGGGGGCTGGGAGTCAGGACTCCTGGGTTCTCTCCCTGGCTCTGGGGGCAGTGGGGTCTAGTGGTTAGAGCAGGGGGGCTTGGAGTCAGGACTCCTGGGTTCTCTCCCCGGCTCTGGGGGCAGTGGGGTCTAGTGGTTAGAGCAGGGGGGGCTGGGATTCAGGACTCCTGGGTTCTATCCCTGGCTCTGGGAGGGCAGTGGGGTCTAGAGGTTAAAGCAGGGAACACGGGGCAGCTGGGACCCAGGCGAGCCGCCCTGCGGACAGGGCTGGGTCTGGGTCCGGGGGCTGCGCGTACCTTCGCTGCGTCCGTCTCCTTCATGACCATGTAGGGCTCACAGCAGTCCCCGATGTCCCCCTGCTGCAGCACCTTCTCCAGCTGGGGGGGAAGAGAAGGGCTTGGGGGGGGGGGGGGGGGGGGGGGGGGGGGGCTGGGGGGGGGGGGGGGGGGGGGCTGGGAGCCAGGACTCCTGGGTTCCACCCCCAGCTCTCGGAAGGGAGTGAGGTCTAGTGGTTAGAGCCGCACGAGCGCGTGCAGAGCAGCGGAGAGGCCAGGCCACGCCCCCCCTCACCTTGATGACCAGGAAGATGTCAGGGGAGGGGTGGGTTATGGAGAAGATGGCGGACCGCGCCAGCGTGGAGATGGCGGGGTGGCCGCCGGGCGCCCGCAGCAGCCCCTTCACCTGATCCGAGTTGAGGTCGAAGTAGAAGTTCTCGGAGATCTAGGGACAGAGCAAAGGTGAGAGCAGGAGACAGCGCCACTATGTGGGCTGGCCTAGGCCCCGCTCCTCAGCCCCGCCCCTGGTCAGTACGGACCCAGCCCCCGTCCCTCACCCTGCATCCCTGCCCCCTGGTCAGTACGGCTGGACCCTGCCCCCCGCCCC